AAGCCGAATTTGAAAGTTAAAATCGTCGCTCGGCTGTACAAACCGAGAAATTAATTGTTAAAGATGCTAGATATAGATTAAGAAACTTGTGATTGCAAAAGTTAAAACAATAGTAATTATTTAGAAGATGGATGTCACCTTGGATTTGCCTTTTCTGTACTAGTGCAGTAAGTACTGCAATATCGAACGACCAGCGGGGGGCTGCGCCCCCCGCACCCCCCTCAAAACTAACCTAACCCAACCTATCGTCACACTAGTCGTCAGTCATTGTTTATTAAAAAATTATTAAAAAAAAAAGTTGAACACTTCAATAAACAATGACTAACGGTTAATGTGACCATAGGTTGGGTTGGGTTAGTTTTTAGGAGGGGTGCGGGGGGCGCAGCCCCCCGCTAGTCGTTCGATATTGCAGTACTTACTAAAAAAATATTTAAATTGATAATATTTTTAACATTTGTAACACGAGAAAAATATAGAACGGCTAGCGGGGGGCTGCGCCCCCCGCACCTCCCCTAAAAACTAACCTAACCCAACCTATCGTCACATTAACCGTCAGTCATTGTTTATTAAAGTGTTCAACTTTTTTCTTAATAATTTTTTAATAAACAATGACTGAGGGCTAATGTGACGATAGGTTGGGTTAGCTTAGTTTTGAGGGGGGTGCGGGGGGCGCAGCCCCCCGCTAGTCGTTCGATATTGCAGTTACATAATGTGATTAAAAGAGCAGTAACTTGCTTAAATTGTGGGAAAGCAGCAACGTTTGACAAGTGAAAAAAAAAGTGAAAAAAAGTTAAAACAATACATAACTTGCATATTTTTCGGACTCCCTCGATTGATTATCAATGTTGGAGTCAAAATAAATATTTTTACTAAAAAAGCTGCAAAAAAGTATCAAAATTCGAAAAAGACCTTATTGTACATAATTACTAAGAAAATTGCTGTTGCAGCGAAAAATGTTGCTAACGCAGCAATATTTTTTAAGTGTCCATATATTACAACTATTTTAGTTGCGGCAAACAACTTTCTTTTTCCGTGGATTTATGTCAGAGCTTGACACGTTGTACGTTTCGGCCGATTTGCTCTGCTTGACGTTGTTCCTTTTACACTGAGGAAAAAATTACTTTAAAATCAACAAATATTTCTTTGACGGGTGCCATTAACATATTTATTTAAATCTAAATTTAAATTTTATTTAAACCAGGAGAATTTGGAATTAAGTAAATATGTTAATGGCACCCATTCAAAGAAATATTAGTTGATTTTAAGGTAATTTTTCCCTTAGTGTACCTCGGCCGAAATGTGCAACGTATGTCAAGCTCTGGTTTTTATGTATTCTCTGTATGCAAGCTCTAGTTTATATGTAATATTGTAGGCAAAAATATTGTTAATAGGACTTATTCATTAAAATAATTTTCATCGAATTCTATAATCTTCTCCCAAGCGAGGAGGCAGATTATTTTTGTAGTATAATGTAGGTAGTAATCGATTAACGGAATGTCAGAAAAGTAAGGCGGAAATATGACAGAATAACAATGATAATATTTACGCATCAAGCTCGTATTTACGCTTCAAACTAACAATTCACCAAAATTCAAAAATTCCTTGGACATGATACGTATTTTGTGTAAGGCGTATTAGACAGCTTAGTACGGTATTTCGTATATGTACAAAGTGATGCTCGTAATAAGAATCTTATTCAATCCATCGGTGGGACTTACTCCTATACGCTGTCAAGGACATAGACGTATCGTCGCAAGGAATTTAAATAGGTCTCTTCCCGCGAGGACATAATACACTCAATCCTTCCACATTAGCCTTTCCACTTCAACATAGTTCAAAACGATGGTTTACACCGACTTATATCGATGATCTATATTTGCTGATTATGCTTTGCATATTTCCATGTGTGGCCAATAATCGTCGTTATAATGTTCTATATATCCACTAAAATGACTAAAGTCAAATTGCGATTGAAGCTCAATGAAATTTGCGGTCGTGTTTGTTTGCCCGATTGAGTTTGCATTTTTGTCAAGCTGTCCAGTTCATTGTAGAATTTTTTTCGACGATAAACAATAACATATAAAATGAAACAACGGGGTGAATAATAAACTGTTTCTCAATGATGTTAGCCATTCAAAGATCACGAGCCGTCGCACAGTGGGAGACTTCCAAAATTCAATATTGCGACTAATACAATAAAAAGAATTATGAATATATTTCCTAAATTACATATAAACTGAATTTTTATATTGTGGCTTGAAATAATATAAACACGTTCCTATTTGTACGAAAACGTGACACTGAATTTGTTTGTCTAAATAAACAATAATTTAAACAATGTCTCTTTGAACTCTCCGTTTGGATCAAATTTTCACATTTAAATCAACGTATAGTTTTTGGGATCTATTAGAAGCACTTCAACTCGTATTATTTTGAAAAAATACATTTTGTAGATTAGTTATTGTGCGATAATTTTGCTATAAGGATAATTAAATAATTTAGTGCTCGTCTGTTGACAACACGGGCATAAATAAGCGTGATAATATATTGTTATTATTATGTTATTACATAGACTTGTGTAAGAAGTATATTTTGTAAAGATCTCGATGTTATCCGCGAGAATCAGAATCACGAAAAATAGGTATTCCCATTAAAAATATTCGATTTACCTTCGTACGACCCTAGGGAACCCAAGGTCAAACTGTTATTACTATTAAATACATTTTTTGAGGCTCTACGAGAGACTTTGCTTCTTATATATATTTTTTATTATAATTGGCCGTTTCCTAGGTATTGAATATTGAGAAGAATATGAGAAGAACTTGTCCCACTGTGCGTCACTTCTCCGAGCCAAGATTCCTCGCGGTTAAGTCCGCATGTGGTGTATCCTTGCTATGATACTGCAATACAATTCAATATTTACAGGTGTACTTATTACAATGTTACAGTTAGTACGCATAACTTAACATAACATCTAAAATCCGGACATAAGACATCTTAAAGATGTCTCAGGTACATTTTACAATAAGCTATTAGCGATAAGCAAGTTGATCAACCACAGTCGATTATTTTTAAAAATAGTGTGATTGGTCAATTTGCTTGCGACTTATGACTAATAGTTTATTGTAGAATGCGCTTTAAAGATATCTTTAGACATCTTACATTCCGACGTCTTTGAGATGCCTTTCAGACGTCTTATGTCCCGATTTTAGACGTCGTATTGCGTGGGAACGCTCTTACTTTTAATTAGCGCTAGCTTTTACTCTTAGTTACCGGTACAATATTGTTGAAACTTCCTCAACTTTTATATATTGGGATCTTGGGTGCTACGAAAGCGCTGCGAAAGTTGGAAACGTGCGTTTCCTCGCAATATCGCGACTCCAATGAAGCACCTGCATTCACGTATAAATATGCACTGCAAGGATTCTGGTGAGGTCCCATCCCACGAAAATGCAGTAATCTCAATAGTCTAGTCCACAATTACTCTCCACATGGAAATGAACATGGTCCAAAGCGAATTTTTATCCCGATCGGTTCGTATTAGAAAACCTCTAGTAAAGAGAAGCGCCAAGCTACTCTGCGATTAGCTGGCATAAATATGTATGGATTTGGACATTGCGACGCCAATGCAAAACCATACATATATATAACTATCTGTTCTGCATTGGCGTCGCAATGTCTAAATCCGTATATGTTTATGCCAGCCAGCTGGTCACATGACCTAGAGATTCTCAGTTTTTCATTGAATTGTCTAGTGAACTTTGCGAAATTCTTGTCGGCATTGAAAACTGATTTCTCAAGTGTAAAAGGGCACAGGTCGGCTTTCAGTAATAATTTCTTACTCTGTAATGTTAGCCAAATGTAATTAAAGGAATCACGGGCCGACGATTTCCCGATATTCGTGTGAGGATCCTAAGTCCGCCTCGCATCCTTGCTCTGTGCATTTTAATGAAAATAATGACAATATAAATAAAAAACTAAAAACAAAGGGCTAGTAGGAGTTCAGACACGGAAGTCGTAGTGCTATGAAACCTATAGATATAGATAAAAGTTCCCTGTTTTTTAGGAAACAAAGCAATTTATTGAACATTTAAAATGTAACATCAAACGTTTCGGTCCATCCGTGGGTCCCTCTTCAATGTATTAAGTGATTCTAAATAAAACGGCGTCAAGAATTTTACTAAATAGACCTTAAGATTGTTAGCAACCGAGACTGGGAGGAAAGAATTGCAAGATATAAAATTTGGAAAACGGTGTTAATTCCAGTCTGTGTCGAAACCTGTCTTCACTGTCCGTTACAATGTTATGATGCCGTTTTTAGAATCACTTCTTACACTGAAAAGGGTCTAGCGATGGACCGAAACGTTTGATATTACATTTTCAATGTTAAATAAATTGCTTTGTTTCCCAAAAAACAGAGAACTTTCATCTATATCCAGTCTTATAGCACAACTTCCGTGCCTGAACTCTTATTAGCCCTTTATTTTTAGTTTTTGATTTATATCTTTGGAGTTCTTTCTCTTTTTTCTCTTTTTTTTTTCTTTTTTTAATGATCTTTTTTTTCTGGTCTTTTTTTTAATGAATCATCTGATAAACTGTAATAATATTATAATAGTACTGTAAGTCTAGGTATTCCGAAATTCACTGCCAATGCTGAAATTCTATAGTATATGTCACATGAACTATAGATTTTTAGTACTGGCAGTGAATTTCGGAACGCAGCTGTAGTCTGTTATCATTACTATCATTCTAGTCTGTTATACTTACAACGTTAGTGTTACAATGTTGTAGTGCAAGCTAGCTCTTATTTGTAATCAACTTCATTACATTTCCCTTAACACTAATAATTCAGTACATTTCCCTTAACACTAGTAATTCATTACATTTCCCTTAAAACTAGTAAATGTTATAAGGAACAGTCTATGCGTGGTCTTGTGTCGCGAAAATTGGATCCGAGTTGTTTCTCGCAATATCGATCTTATCTAATAGTCTATCTATGATGAATATTCTCTGCCAATATCTCGGCATCGTAAGGATTCCGGCGAGGTCTCATCCCGCGAGGATGCAATAATCTCAGTCTCTATACTCCCCTCTTCCTTTCTGCACCAACATCGTCCAAAACGATGATTTACACAAGAGTTCGGCACGCGTTGTATATTTCGACCGACTTTCGACTCTTGCTTCGTCTATTCTCCTTACCTCCTCATCTCGCGCGCCGCTCGAGACTTAGGAACATGTGACTCGTAAGCATTCGTTTCCAACAGTTATTGGAAATATATATGTTTATAAATTACATGATCCTGAGTCTCCTTGTCAGGTAAGAGGAATAGCGCTAGGTGGAACAAGTCGAAAAACGGTCGAAGTTTGCAAGTCATGCCGAGCTCCGATTTACACTGACCGATTCGCGTGTCCCCTCGCGGACAAAGACTATTCTTTTTCGTCGTATCTTCGAAAATGCCGATACTAAATTGAGAATGAGGTTTAATTGAATTTGTTTTCTTGTCTGCTTATTTGTCTGATTGAATTTAAATTTCTTGCCAAATTGTTCAGGTATTTGTAAAATTCTTCATGGAAATTGATTTTTCATATTTAAGATAAAGCAGCGGGGGGAACGATTTACAGTAATACTTATGGTAAAGTTAGCTTGAACGTAAAGATATAAGGAGGACGCAAGAGCCAAAATGCTGGTGTTGCACTAGAATTTAATCACAAAAGTCAATTACAAAGTGAAACGTTTCGATCGTAATATGCGGTCGCATATAAATATAAGATTAAATTCTAGCGCACAACATCAGCATTTTGGCTTTTGTGTCCTCCTTATATCTTTAATTTATCTAATTTTAGAGCCGTTAGAATCTTTTATTACCTTGAATTAGTCTAAACGTAATTAAACATTTTTCCGATACTTGAGTAGAGGTCCTGCGCAGTTATGCCCGTCGTGTATCCTTGCCGATTGCTCGTATGCATAATAGTTGGTATGATATCTGAGAGGCCTTTTCATCGCACCGTTATAGCTCTTGTTAGTTTCTGAAGTCTAGTTTCTGTTAGTCCATGTCTAGTTTTTTTCTATTTATTCTATTTCCACCTAATTTTATTTTAAACGATCCAGACAAATATTATCTATATTTACGTTATTATCATGTATAGTCATCACCAGGTATGTTTATGTTAGAAACATCGCAAGGATCCGCGCGAGAGGTGTTATCCCGTGAGGATGTAATAATCTCCGTCCTCTCCTGTACCTCTCTGTATCTTCTAATAGGAGCAAAGCGTTGACTGACATCGATCAGTACACATTCGCGTATGAATGCGACTGTCCGATTAGATAATCCTACATATCTTAAAAAATGTCGCGTTTAAATTGAGAATAAAAGTTAAATTGGAGCTGAGGTCAAATTCGTTTGTACGATTGAATTTTAATTTTTAGTCAAACTTTCTAGAAAGAAAGAGAGAGAGAGAGAGAGAGTGTGGCTTTTGCAAAACTTTTGTAGACGATAAATGGGTGCAGTTCCGAAAAGCACAAACTTCCGATTCAGCTGGTTTTTTGTGGAAAGCTTCTCCTTAGCTCCAAAATGAAAACCCCTGAAGAATTTTTTCCCGTTCGCCCTCCACCCGTGCTCAAAGTTCAAACTTTGTGTTCGCTGTTTCTTCGCGTCTCTGCGAGCGCGCAAACAGAGTGTGTGTGTGTGTGTGTGTACGTGCGGGCGTGTGCAACTGAACGTAACACATACTAATATATATATATATATATATATATATATATATATATATATA